TTTGTGCATAGTTAAGTAAGTTTAAAGTCTTTGCTTAATATATTCATTATCTGGACTTTTTCAACAATGATTTCTTTTTTTATTTTAAATATTTTAAAAATTGTATTTTTATTTTCCTGTGAACTAGTCATATTTTCTGTTTGCATGCTTTTGAACTTTTTGTTGAGTTCTGGACATATTGTAGTATTATCACTCAGGAAATTAGATTTCCTCAGGCATTATGTTGTTTCTTGTTGGAGGCTCTGATAGCCCATTTGTTTCGTAATGGTTTCTGACTCTGCATGGTCCTTAAGTTTGTTTCATTACCTTTGCAATTAGCCTGTGAGCAGACAGGTGGTGTGGTAGTTACTCATGGGCTGTGATTTGCAAGGTCAGCAGTTTGAACTCTTTAGCCACTCCTCAAGAGAAAGACAGGACAGGTCTGCTGTCCTATAGGGTCATGATGAGTTAGCATCGACTCGATGGAAGTGTTTGTTTTCACACAGATATCCTTGATTGACAGTTTATTTCTTCACCAAGCCCTCTCTTGGATCGTGCACATGCTCAACTAGATGCCCTTGGTGGGAATGAATTGATTCAGTAGCTATTTGTGGGTGGCACTTCCTAGATCTATCTATTCTGTTATCTTCCAGTGACATCCTAGATCTAAGCTATTCTTTTTGACATGATTTTGGTTTACATTTTATAAGTATTTTTAATTGTGAAAGCAGAAAGCAAAAGTTACTTGTTTATTTTGAGTAAAAAGATGTATTATAGCATTATTTAAAACAATAGTCAATCCAAACAGTTTAGGAATAGTCATGTAAATTATAGTAGAACCATACAGGGAATTGCAAGTGATTCTGGTATGTTATTTTTGTTTCTTTTTTTTTTTGCGTGTTGTTAGTGCTGACACATCATGGAGAAAGTTAATAGTTATACCTAGTTTAGGGTATAAAACTAAATATGGTTTGTTGCTGCTTATAGTTTTCTATTTTAGTAAGGGGGTAAAATGCCTAGAACAGAACATCACAATTGGTAGTCAGAAAATATTAACAGAAAACTTAAAAGGTGTAAGCGTGCAATAAAGATGCCATTCCCTTCTGTAAAGATCAGTGAGCCGCCTCCTACACATTACCGCCCCCTTAATAAAAGGGCAACCTGCTACTGTGAGAAAAACATAGGCATTGCAGTCAGACCTACATATGAATCCTACCTCTACCACTTCCAGTAGAATAGCAGCACTATTATTTTTAGTGTCAGGCTGCTTGGTTTTAAACCCGCCATTGTATGGCACTGGCAGGTACCAGTTACTGCTGTGCGCATGTTTTCCCATACTCAGAGGAGTGGTTTGTGAATTCATGTTTGATAAAGTAGAATCTGCTTCGTTGAAAAAGACGAAGAGTCTCAAGGAGATGGATTGAGACCTTGGCTGCACCCATTAGCTCAAGGGTAGAAAGAACTGTGCCCCGGAACTGGAGTGGGCAGTGTTCCCTCTGTTGGGCACAAGGTCACTACGAGGTCGGAACTGACCCCAGGGCCCCTACGAACATACATGGGGAGTACTGTTTAGAATCTGACCTCAGGATAGCTGACTGGTCAAAATCCTCTCTCGTTTTCTATGGCACCGAACAGAGCACCAAATGTGGGCTATTTTAATTTTACTTTGAGCAGAGGGATGTGATGTTGTAGCCATAGTTTTGTTGTCTGTAAACATTCTAAGTTATATCTTGTAGGATTATGATAATTGGTGGGAATATTTTTAAAGCACTTAGCTCTGTAAATGGGAACTCTCATATCTGCGAATGTTTTTTTGTTTTGCAGCATTCTTTTTGAAGAATATATTTCATATCTCTCACAGGAAGAAAGCAGCTCTAATAAAGTGTCTTTGCTTAATGAACAGTTTCTTCCACTTATAAGGCTTTTAGAAAGCAAGTAAGTCGTGTGTATGTGTTTCCCCCTTTAATGTGTACACCTATTATAGGGAGTTGTATAGAGTGCACTCTATTTTTATCCCTCTTTAGGAAAGGATGGATGCAGGAATTATGTTTGAAAGATAAGAGAACATGGGTTTGTGTGTGGACTGTGTAGAGTATAATTGTTTATACAGATATTTTTATTGTTGGAATATAATTTTATTTGATTTATGTATACCATTTGTTGAAATTTAGAGGTTATAAATAAGTCCCAATCTCAGTAAGTGTAAAGCTTTATCTTTCCTTTATACATGGTGTACTAACAATAATGAATTAACTCATTTAATTTCCTCATAGATACCCCAGAACACTAGATCGTGTATTAGAGGAACACTTGAAGGAAGTTACAGATCTAAAATTGCAAGAGCTTTTCCACCAATTTATTTCTCTTTCCACGAGTGGAGGAAAGTATCAGGTAACTCATCTCCATAGAAATTGTGACATTAGTATATGTATCTGATTATTTGAAGAACTGCAAAGGAAATTTGCTACTTCCTTCCACCATTGGGGAAGAATGAGATTTTATACTACTTGTTTAGTTATCTTAAGTAAGGTTTTGAGACTGGGATTTAGTAGTTTGAGATAAACGGTAATTGTTAAGTAGCTATGAACATGATGCTTGTTTTAAGAAAGGTGCTTCCTGGGATTTAATCTGTTACATTTAGTAACACTCATGAAGACAGGGCCTTACATAGGCATCCAGTGTTCTTTATCTTCGTCTCAGGTCTGCAGCGTAGAATATACTAGCCAGATAAGTTACCCAAGTTATTTTATGATCATTTTAGAATTGCAGAAATTATCTGGTGATTGTACCTGCCTTTAGGTTAAAACTTACACATATCTAAGCAGAAAGTCTTAAAACTAGCCTAAAATGGATTTTATGAAGAGAAATATGATTTAGTTTTTCCTTTCTTAAAAACTATCATCTCTAATGGTGTTTAATATCAATATTATGTTACTGGACCTACTTTGCCTAAAAATGTAAATGAACTAAATATTTATTGATTTATCACTTCATTTAGATAAGTTGCACTTTGTTTACAGTGATAATTTTTTTTTCTCTATTTAGGTACTTTCCACTTTTGAATCAGATTTACATAAAGAACATGAAAGCACATCATTGTATTAAACCTACACAAACTCAAGTTACACAGAATTACTATTAAAATAGTCCTAATCTTTGTTTTATCTCTTGTAACTTACACCATGTTGTAGAGACAAAGATTTTGCTTTGCATATTTGTATGTAAAACAGTGGTTCTCAACCTTCCTAATGCCGCAACCCTTTAATACAGTTCCTCATGTTGTGCTCCCCCCCCAACATAAAATTATTTTTGTTGCTACTTCATAACTGTAATTTTGTTACTGTTATGAATCTTGTGACCCCCGTGAAAGGGTCATTTGAACCCCAAAGGGGTCACGACCCACAGGTTGAGAACTGATGTAAAATTAGATGATTTTTATTGAATATGTTGGGCATTCTGGGCTGGTTTTTCTGTTTTCTTGATTATTTGCTACTCAGATTTGACAATAAAATCATTTTATAATTGTGATGAACCATACAGATTTTAGCAGATTCTGATACCTCCTTGATGCTCAGTCTGAATTATCCTCTTGCTCCTGTGAGACTTTTGGCCATTAATCATCTGAAAAATATAATGGAAACATCAAAGGTTTGTGTGAAATAGCTTTTTATGTTTTACCTTTAGAGTGAACACTGTAATTCTTGAACAATATTTTCTAAATTTTCATCTTTCAAGTTATACCTTCACAACTCTTGCTGTATCACCTAGTCACTGATCTATTTTCCTTAGCTTAGTTCAAATGGACTCTTCTTCACGTCACCTCAGATCATGAACTTGAAGTGCTAATATACTGTAAAAACAAAGTAACAGTGTTCATCTGTGTAATGCATAAAATATTCAGATATCACTGTTTCTATCTTTGTAAAATTTCTGGAATAGAGAAAATTGGTACCAGAGTTTAGTAGCATGCAGCAGCATACACATGCCGACCTCAAAAGAACTTCTCTCAGTAGCTATTAGAACCAGATTTCTATGAAGGTTTATATCTGATTTACAGATTTCTTTTATATTTTTAGGTAACTTATGCCTTTAAAAAAAAATAGGCTTAGGCACCATAACCATATTCACTTAAAGGGGTTCCTGTATCTAAATTTGCCAGTTGTTTTATTTGATTAATTTTTAATCTATACACAATATTTCTTTCACTAATTGTGCTGATAAAACTATATTGACTTGTTGAATAATTGAACTCATTGAATACTGGACTTTCTTTACTGGAGATTTAGAGTTCTAGAATGAAAAGGAATTCCTGGAATCTGGTGGTGTTCCTAAAGCTATTGGCCATCCTTTTTAAATGTTTTATCTATTTTCCCTTGTTCTCCTGTGGGCTTGGTTGTTTATGAGAGAAAGACTTTGAGTACAATCAGGTTACATGCTCAGGTATTGTAATTGCCCTTAAGATCTATATTTGCATATCAGACTTGATTTTCTAGTCAATGATAGGACATAGGTTTTATGTATTCCTGATTGGGATATTTGGCTACTTTTAGTGCTTAAGGAAACTTTGGTGGCATTGACACGTGAAACTTAAACTTGTGAATAGGGATTTTAGTTTCTTTTTTTTTTTTAAATAGGGATTTTAGTTTCTATCCCCACAGAGTAACCTGTATCATAGCATTAAAAAAAACAAAACATGTTGGGATGTATTCGGGTTGTCGTTCCTTTTTTTCCCCCTTTGTTATATTAAAAATAGATACCAAAAGAAAGAAGATAACCTAATTTTGGCAGACTGGCTTTGTTCTTATAAAAACCTAGATAATTGCTAGTTTTTAATAGTCTTTAGGAGTACATTTACAGGGAACTCCCAGAGGTTCAGGCTGGATTCAGAAGAGGACATGGAGCAAGGGCTATGTCAGATGGATCTTGGCTGAAAGCAGAGAATACCAGAAAGAAGTTTACTTGTGTTTCATTGACTATGCAAAGGCATTCAGTGTGTAGACCGTAATAAACTGTGATGACCTTGGGAAGAATGGGAATTCCAAAATACTTCATTGTGTTAATTGGAACTTGTACATGAATCAACAGGCAGTTGTGCTTACAGAACAAGGACATACTGCATGATTTAGATCAGGAAAGGTGTGATCAGTGTTGTATCCTCTCATGATACTTGTTCAATCTGTATACTGAGCAAATCAGGGAAACTGAATTATATGAATAGTGGCGTCAGGATCAGAGGAAGGCTTATTAACAGCCTATGATATACAAATGACACAACCATACTTGTTGAAAGTGAGGAGGCGTTGAAGCACTTGCCAATGAAGATCAAAGATTGTAATCCTTGTAAGGATTACAAGTCTATGTAAAGAAGACTAAAGTCATCACAACTAGACCAATAGGTAACATCGAGATAAATGGAGCAAAGGTTGAAATTGTTAAGGATTTTGTCTTGCTCGGACCAATCAAGGCTCAAGGAAGCAGCAGTCAAGAGATCAAGAGACAGTGCATTGGGTGAATCTGCTGCACAAACCTCTTTAGAGTGCTGAAGAGAAAGGACATTATTTTGAGGACTAGGGGGTGCCTGGCCCAAGCCATTGCCCCATATGCGTGTGAATGTTGGACGTGGAATAAGGAAGATTAAAAGAATTAAAGCCATTGGTTTGTGGTGCCGGAGAAGATATTGAGAGTAAAATGGACTGCTAAAAAGGACAAACCGATCTGTCTTAGAAGTAAGGCCATCTCCTTATAGGCAAGGATGCCAAGACTTCATTTTACATACTTTGGACACAGTGTCAGGAGAGACCAGTCTCTGGAGAAGGATATGCTGGGTAAAGTGAAAGGGCAACGAAAAATAGGAAGGCCTTCAATAAGAGGGATCGACACAGTGGATGCTTCAGTGGGTTCAGGCAAACTTGAACAACTCTAAGGATAGCACAGGACATTGCACTGTTTCGTACTGTTGAGCATAGGATGGCTATGGGTTGGAGCAGACTTGTTGGCACCTAACAACAAGAGTGCTGGTGGTGCTTTCAGAAAACCATTGAACTGCTGGTAACCATAAGATGGGCACTTCTAACCCACTAGCCACCCCTCAGGAGAAAGATGAGGCTAGCTGCTCCTGAAACCCCATGTAGAGTCACTGTGAGTCAGAATCGACTTGATGGTGGGTTTGGTTTGGGGGTTTGCTACATTACTGGAAGCAGTTACTGCTTTAAGTCCTAGCTACACTATTGAATCCTCTAACAACCCTTTGAGGTAGGTACTGTTACTAACTCAGTTTTCAAGATTGGGATCCGGAAAAAATTAAAACTTGCCCAAAGTTACAGCTAGTGGCAGATCTGGGACTTAAACCTAGACATTTTGATTCCTTCGTCTATGCGCTCTCAACATCCAGAATCTTACTTTATGTCAGTGCAAAGATTATATTTGGATTATGCAATTTAGATTTTCAATGGAAGCTGGAAAAAGTTTATTAATCTAACAGGATCAATAGGATTCTGTTAGATGTCTACTTCGATGAAAGTATGCTTTGAATGCTTGAATTTCTCAGCCAGCCTTCAGCCTGTGCCCCTTGATTTGTATTATGGAGTGTACCCTGCTTCTTTCTAGTGTCAAACCTTAATGAAATTTTTAGCCACAGGAAAAGTAATATATTTTTTCCTATCCCTCAGGAGAGTATTGATGAATCTTTCATAAAAGAAGCTATTTTAACTCGATTAGGTGATGATAATATAGAGGTTGTTCTGTCAGCTCTAAGTGCTTTTAAGGTGAGTGAATTTGTTGCTCATTGAAAAGGCGTTTTTGGTTTGTTTGTTTGTTTTTTAGTTTTTGTTTATATTTTCTTGCCCTTCTTACATGATTCTGTGTTCTAAGCAGGAGAATATTTCAAATTATTCTTCTATTGGAAAGTTGTACTCTTGAGAGATCACAGACAGTCTAAGTATATAAATTTGTATAGTCACCTGACTATACAAATTTCATATATATGAAATTCAAAAAGGAAAGGTGTATTGTAAATTTTATATTTTAATAATTTTTATTAGTAGTAAATACCTTGGGACAATGGAAAATAGATCATGAATTCCCCTTTTTAGAAATTATTCCTGTAATACTTTTTAAGTTACAGTAGCCTTCTTAGGAGATAACTTTTTACAAGTTCTTTCTCACAGTTCATTGTAATAGTATTGTGTATTTGAAGCAGCTGGAAATTTACTCATTTTTTGTTTTCTTTTTCCTTTTAGACTTTTAAAGAACATTTTAGTTCAGAAGTAACTGTTTCAACTCTTCTGAAACTCTTTCGAAGAGCAGAACCTTCAAAGAATAAGGAATGGTATGTATTCATTTCTTATATATACTTTTGAGTTGATAATTTTTTGCTTCCAATTGGTATTCTTTTTTAAAAAAACATTTTGTGTACCCTATAATTTAATTGTATGACCCTTTAGCTATGCTAGTGGAATTTCTTCTGTAAAAATAATTAGAGTTGAGCTTTTTTTTTAGAGTTGAACTTTTTAATAATAAAAATGTAAACAGAAGTATTTGATATATGAAATTATACTGAATTCTGAGAAGAGGGATTGGATGGGACTTGAATTGTCTACTCTAACTTTTATATTTGGTTTTGTTTTCCTAAGAATCACACATTATTTTATAATTAAGAACAAATGTCATTAGCTTTGAATAATACTTTTGGAAAGGAGACTGGGTTATTGTCCGTTGAACTTAAATAAGGAAGTGATAGATTTTTGCTAAGTAAAATTAATGCATCTCTCAAACCAATGCGCTTACCTGTCTTTTAGGTACAAGGTACTTGAGATAGCAGCAGACATTTTGGTGAAAGAAAAGATCCTGCATGAAAGCCATCAGTTGGCAAATCAGGTGGTGGTACATTTACTCCCATATATGGTCGTCATCAGTGACGAGAAGGACTCTCCTGAGATAAAAATTGCACTCTATTTATCCAAATCAGGAGTTTGTTCTTTGCACTTTCTGCTAAGAGGCTGGAAAGAAGGTAAAAAAAAAAATCAGTTGTCTTCATAGAAGAAGTTAACAAATAATAATTTTAAAAGAAATTTATAGTAAATAATTGGTTGTGATAACTTTTAAAGTTGGTTTCAAAGAAAAAAATTTTTTATTTAAAAAAATTTAAACATTTGTTAATATAAAAAGTATACCATGAAAAGGAGGTAGACTTACAGGCAAAATCAGATTTTGCTGGAAGGGAAAATAAAATAAAACTTCATAGGAAAGCAGTAAATAGTTTCCTAGATTTTCTAGTTTACATGATTCTTTGGGTGAATGTTGATTACACAAGTGATTTCGATATGTCTCTCTTTTTTTTAAATAGCTTTTGAAAATGTGTGTAAGGGCACAAAGTCGGGAAAACTAATTGGTGTAGCAAATCAGAAGATGATTCAGTTGTTGGCAGACAACATAAAGTCAGGGGATCCTTCTTCAAACTTAAAGATGGTAGGTGTGCTGTCCCCGTTCACCCTGGGACTTCCTTCCTCGAACTTTAGCAGCTCGTCAGCCTTGGCTTCCTTGGACTCTGCTCCTGCTCTGGCTCCTCTCCCCTCCCCCACGTTCTATCCCTGCTGCTTTTCTAAACCCCCTGTCTCTCTTTTTTTTAATACTCTTGTACTTTATTATTTTGTTCCAAACTTACATAGTGTTTAATATATTCTACAGATTATTTGAAGCCTTTAACATTTTGAATCATTTTTTAAAATGTAACTATTGGACCAGTTAAAATAACATGTATATTTTACATTTTCTCTTTTCCTCATTTAAAACATTAGAAATTAGTTGCCTTTGTTGTCAAAATAGTAAAATATAACAAAGAGGAGAAAATTACTATTAAGTCAAATGTGAAATAACAATTGTGGTTTCTAAAACAAAGATCTAATTGTAGTCATGAGCTTTACAGTTTCAGAAATTATTTTTATAATTACTTAGAAATCAATATTTAATCATCTTTTTTAAGGCTTTCAACTTGTCAGTTTAGTTTTCATTTGAAACACATGGTCGTTTGAAAGACAGGAAGTAGTAAATGACGTTTTGAAGAGAGTTTGCAGTAAGGGATTGTGTTCACCTCTCAAGGTGGAGGAGTTGATCGATGTTGTTGACAAGGACGCCTGTACCGTGCGGCAGAAAGTGGCTCTTCACGTCATCGTGTCTGTGCTCGTCGCTTGCTGCTCATCCTTGAAAGAAACGAATTTCCCATTTGCGATAAGAGTCTTCAGTTTGTTGCAGAAAAAAATTAAAGAGCTGGAAAGTGTCAATGCTGCAGTGGTAAGTTGTGGAGAGTCTGGAGAATGGTCCGCGGTGAGAAATAACAACCTGTGAGCAAGATGGTGACAATTGGCGTGTGGGATGCTGAGTTTGGGTACTTAGTGAAATGCAGTGCAGCCTCGAGCGACAGACAAAGTGGCTCTCTTGCTTTTACAGAGAATTTAATTCAATTCTAAAATTTCAAGATTGCAAAGTGATTGGTGAACTTTTATTATCTTTATTCAATAACTAATTATGCTATGCTTAATATGCCCCTGATGAAGATATCTTTTAGTGTGCTAGTGCATGAAAAGAATATTGCTTCAGTCTATTGATTACTAAAAATAAAGCTTTTATATTATTTTCATCATTACATAACATTAAGCTTAAATTGACCATGCCTATTATTAGTTTTGGACATTTTTGAACCGGATATACTTTTACGTTGATCTTAAGGTAACGAGATTATTCATTTTTAAATGCCTGCCATATCTAATAGTATTTTCTTTTTATTTGTCCTCCAAACCTCAGAGGGCTCCTCATTGTACAGTTTTCTAAATGAATAGCAACTTTTTTCATATTTGTTTGTGCCTTTATATTTTATAGGTTTGGGTCATAGCCACTTTTAGCTAAAGATATATAAAGTTTTAAAAAGAAGCCCAGAAGGGCCTTTAGCTTTCTTTTTTAAAAAAATACTTTTATTGGGGGCTCTTATGGCTCTTAACGCAATCCAAACATTCCTCCAATGTGTCAAGCACATTTGCACATATGCCGCCATCATCATTTTCAAAGCATTCTCTTTCCACTTGAGCCCCTGATATCGGCTCCCCATTTCTTCCCC